ATATATATGAATTCAACTGTTATTTATTCATTACGTTACTTTTTACGGGATATTTGCCCTACTAGATTGGACAAGGTATGGAGTTTTTTGCCGGAAAGCCTGTAGACGTGTTAAGCCTTATCACCCAGATTCTCAAGATGCAACAAACCTTTTCTGAGTTTTTAAATATTCAACTTTCAAATCATTTAGCTCGTTTAAAACGTACATGCTTCTATACAGAGTTTAGCCGACATTTTTTCAACTAATTTATGACAACTAAAATCACTTGATTTGAATACTACGAGAGTTTTTATGGGCTCATTGACTCCGAGCTTTGCATCCTCTGACTCAGCTGAGAAGTCGTTGCGCATAGGTCTACTTGTAACGCGGTTAAAATGATCCTGTCTCCTCGGTGCGTTACGCACCGTTTTTAATTTTTGGGTTAGATTGTCAACTGCACATTTCGATATTTTACTAAGCCAACTCCTTTTGCGACCGCTTTTTTTTGTATGAGTCTGACCATTAGAGTCCGCTACTCTTGCGTGAGCTCTTTTCATCATCCTACTGTGAGTCCATATAGAGTTACAAAAGCACGAAAACCATTGAAATTTAGTACAGGATAATCTATGGTAACGACAATGTTGTGGTTATAGAGTGACGATAATGTGGTCATAAGGCTGTACCTAACCTATGCCAACAGACGGAAGAAGATGAACTTGGATACCTGAACTGAGCTTAATGGCCGAAATGTTCCTACGTTGGTGGTGAGTAGGCACTGCACCACATGTCTTAGCCTTTCCCTCCATAGTAGTTTAAAGATGCTTTCCTAGCGACAATGACGTGAAATGTGCTATCGCTAAAAATCAGAGGGAAGCACCTTTCCCATAAAAAAAAAAAACACATGTATATATCTAGTGTGAGCGCAGAAATATCCTCGATCAAAATCAACCATGTGTGAAAATTCTTAAGTAGCCCCGCTAATGAATTATTATATTACTGCTCTTCGAATAATATAGAAGGTGCGGTAAATAAGTCACGGCACGCACCCGTGGCAAGTCAACAGATACACCGCGTGCAGAGGGGAGGGGAGGCGGTACACAGGTCTTTCATGAACGGTTGGTTGTCAACACAGTGAAGACCAAGATAAGAGTCGGCGTCAGAATTTAGTGTAGAAACTATGTTTAGTTTGTTTAATTAGTTTCAATTTTTACTATTCTATTAATATCTAGAAAATGTGTGATAGATAGAGGATGTGTATGCGAAATAAAATGTTATTAAATATGAATGCTATATAAAAATCACTGGGTAAATATCTCATCGACTGCTCTTAATGGTTATAGATAAGTCTAGTTTCGATTGTAGGATCCTGTACACCTATGACTGCAACTCTTTTTAGTCTATTTATTACTTATAATAATATCTAATAGCTTGAACGGTAGAGAACGATATCGTACGCTGTAGCGGTAAATCCTGTCTATGCCCATTTACAGCTAATAACTAGAAAAAAGTAACAACCGGTCTGAACGAGTTCCAGTGCCCATTACATCGTTGTAACGTGCATGTATCATTTGACGCAAGCGCAACTCATTTTTATTAGTTACGGTTAAACTTTTCGGCAACATTAACTTATTTACTGTAAAAAATTTAGCTTCGAACAGCGTTGTTAGCGGTATAGACAGTCGAACGCAGCTCCCTCCTACTTTGTGACGTGTTTTTGAACAGTTTGGAATTTGAATGCGATGCCTTGACTAGCCATGACGAGTTCCAGCTGCCCTATTCATCTATTAGCGCTTCATAACCACCTCGTTCCTTGCCGAATCTTAAGAAACCCTTCGACATTCACTGTGAGAGCATTTTCAACCGTCGTATTATCTCAGTAGTGGATGCACACACATTGCTTGTATTGGTGCTGCTAGGAAGCGCTGTGCCGGCTCTAGTTTTGCCCGTGACGGCTTCGTTGTTACTCACCTAGGTGGAGTGCCCTTGCGCAGATATTCGCAAGAGATGGACTGCCATAAATAAACGATATCCGTGGCCGTTCTCCATTTCACAACTAGTTTAATCTTGTATAGTTCGTTCAGCGATATGGAGCAGCTTCAACACTCGGTAGCTCGACGTGATGAACAGTACAATGTGCTATTCCACATGCAGAAAGGCCGACAGACAACACTTCCGCGCACCGCCAAATAAAATGTGATATAACCTACAATTTCAGTAGCGGCTATCGAGCTACAAATCCTGTTAGTACCACAGGGCACAGCGACGATGGCAATAATCATGATAACGATGATTATGCTGATGATGATGAAGGTTGTTCTCCCTGACGAGGGGAGGAGCGCGAGGGAGGCTTTCGAAATATTCCGGCACCCAAGTTGAAGCCAACCACAATGCTGCCTTCGGCCCAAGCTCGTTGTTTTCCTCGTTCATAGATTCTGGACTTCTTTAGCGAACCCCCTTCACATCCGTATCTCAGCACAATCATACAAAGAACATTAGCATGCTGTAGGAATCACACTGAAAAAAAAAACGCTTCGCTGAAGTATTTAACATAGTAAATGGAAGAAGTCGAAATACTCAGTTGCAGTATAGTATACGTGTCGGGTGCGTAAGTTTCAAACGACGGTTAGACCATACGCCTAGGTGTCGCTAAGCTTGTCAACGTTCTGCTTTAATTTAAAGCATCCATAGTAAAAATAAATGTATAAAATGCTTGCTTAGATTATCAAAGCGGCAGTTAATCGCACATTGAAGAAGTAAATATGAAAAAACTAACGCAAAAGCTGCGTCCTGTAGGTCGATCTATTCGTCCCTTAAATCATACTTCGTTTCATGGAAAGAGGTGGCCTATTTGCAAGTAAATAATCAAGGAGCATCTTGTTGTTAAGCTATTTTATCTGATCTTTTTATTTAAGATGTTTATGTTATATATATTATATTTCATAGTTTAAGTGGAAAATACGAGCAAATAGGAAAAAAATAAAATTATTGACTTCCTAGAGGCATTTTAAGCAGATTTTAAGACTGAATACGATTGTTGCTCCCTACAGAAATGGTGTTAGCTGAATCTAGGGTAGTTTCCGAACCCAGTATTGCTGTTTCAAAGAATCACATGATTAAATAGGTATAACCGTGCCGTCACGATATTACTTTTATCGAGTCCATGACTTAAAGTACTTTTGCCAGTCATTCAGTCAACGCAGGCTTTTTGGCGTTTTTTCAGGATGCCTAAATGTAAAAAATGGAATTTCTTTCAAAAATGGACAACTACGTGACGGAAATGGCTTTCCACAAATCTACCATACATTTGTCACAATTGGAATTTCGCTTTCTTAATTTCTGCTTAATTTCTCTTGCGACGATACCTTTTTGTCATCGGGCTTCAGCTACGTGGGAGCGTATCCGGGCGAAAAATAATATTTTATAGGAAGACTCCCATATATGTCTATGTTCTCAACCCGCCAGAGATGGTCTTCGACAATAACGGAATAAGATGTCATGGGAAGCTCCGAGTAAAACGGCAAGAGCATCCTTAGAGACTAAGAAGGTAATCCTTAGAGACGGCGGGTGATGCCTTCGACTTATTTCGTCGATTTTCAGTTTAGTACGTCCTAGTCTTCTCGAAAATTGTCAGGAAGGTTATTCGCTGATTGTAAATCTACACAGTAGAGTAAACGTGCAGATATTTAATCGATTCTAAACCGAATGGAGACCGCTGAATATTTACTAATAGACCACACCATACACACAAAGTAAAGCGAGTGTAGCAACCGTAGAAATGGCTGAAAACCACTCTAGAAAATTTCTAGGCATTCGATAAATGTATGGCGTTCAAAAGAAAATAGAAAATCAAAACAAAACTTTTTAATAGGTTTTTTTATTTGACATAACAAAAAAAGTTCACGCAGAGCGCCGATGGGATATGCCGTGTGTGCGAATCTCTGGTGGCTGTTAAATACACAATTCAAAAGTGGATACTATTCAAACAAAATGATTAACTCCATTGCCAGACCCGACTCGAACGGTTTCTAACGAGCTCCACGACGTTGCTCGTGGCATTTATGGATACTACCTATCTCGTCCTCAGTACGCCAAACGAAACCGATCTGAATCATTTGCCCGCCTGAGACCATGATGAATTCACGTTGTCTGGATGTCTAATTCACTTAAAGCAGCAAAGTTTATTGGTGTACTGTCAACTATCAGAAATGAAGGCAGGTCGGATTTTTTGCCATAGTTATAACTAAAGGTACAAGAACAAAGAAGCCAAAACATCATGGCCGGTGCTCTTCAAGGAGCTCCGCGATGTTCTATGGCATCTAGAACAATAAAACAATGGCCCACACATTAGGAAATAGTGCCTGTTCACGTCCTATTTCTGTAAACCGCCATTCTGCCACTTTTCGTTAATCGTGAAAGGCCTGCTCATTCTTGTGTAATAGTATGAATGTTCGACGACGTCAGGAAATGGTTGGATATGAGCGAGTTTAAAGGAAAACCGTTTATGGTAATGCCACTGCTCACATGGCAGTAACGACGACGGAAATCATATCAGTCATATGCATGAGTTGTAAGTCATTGCTCACACACAAATAGAGGTAGTAATGAGCAAGCATGATTCTTACTGCGAAATTATTTAATATATGGAAAGTAGATGCTAAGGGTTAGCCATGTGATGGAATGGGCAGTAATACTCCTAGAGAAGCAATTGCTTCTTAGTTAATAATTTACTAACACCCGAACCACGTGATCGGGGTAACCAATCGATTTGCCGTGTTGGTCATAGGCTTCTTTTTCACTGAGCAAAGCCTGAACCGCCGATAGAAAAGGTGGCGGAAGGAGTTTCAGGCGAAGGCAGAAGATATCAATGCGTAAATGCAACTCCTGGTGCCTCGTTAGTAATAGGGAAACTTTTGGGCGCTGACGGATAATGTTACACGGTGCGGTTTTTGTTACAGCGTCAGCCTTCGGTTGACTTGGCACAATAACACAACGGCAGCTTATGTCTATGCATAAAAACGTAGATAGTCGACTCAGAAGAAATGTCGAGGAGGTGGCGATAGACTGACTTCCTCAATTGAAAAGCGTAAGAGTGGTGCCTTGAAAGGTTAAGAGCAGCATAAACGAAATAAATCTGTATCGCATTAGACTACATCACGCAAGAGCATTACTAAAATCACATAATGGTACCTATAGACACCAGAGGAAACCCATCTGGGTACATTAAAGCACAATGAAAATGATATTGTGCCTCGTGAGATTGCCGGAAGGAACCGGACGATCTAAAATAAGCGTGTTTCAGTGGGAGAGTTACGAAAGAAATCAGATTATGTGAGACGAGGGTGCCGGAAAACTACAGGATTAGTGGTCCCATTATCGGTGCGGTGAGCCGTGTTTCAAAGTGTGAATGAATTTGTGCTAAACCATCGAGTCGCTTGCTAGCGTACTATGAAGGGCATTATAGGCCTAGTTATATCAATTGTCAACGCTACTATTGATGTTCAATAGCGTCTGGCGTACTGTTCTTAATCAAGCAGCCTTTCTACCATATACTTTTTTCTTAACCGACCTGTCTTGGGCAACAGAGGCTGCTGACAATCAGACAACCTCCAGCTTAACGTTAACCTAATTGAACATCGAATCACCAGACGCAGCGGAAAACCACTGAATACTCGGACAAGTTTGATTAGGAAACTCGATATATGGAGCAGAAGGATCAAAAAACAACGAAAACAGTTATCCTATGTGAAATGTAACGAGATCTGACAGGTGTATAATATTGGGCAAACAAGGACTTCAGGGTCGAGCAGGAGGTTGCCGTATGATGCCAATATGAGCATGGTTTACTATAGCGGGACACTAGAGAGTCACAAGACTGTTGATTGGCAGACCTACACCACAGGCCTTCAAGTTTAACAGTACCAATACACCTGAAACTCGCTGTTATGGTTTGCGTTGCCTTGACAACCACAACTTGTCAAAACTTCTCATAAGCCTACTTAATATAACAATGCCCCCATTGTTATATTATATACGGTCTACTGAAATGTTTTTCATACTTTTCATGTCTGGTACTTTAGGCGTTAGGCATTAGTTAAGACGGCTAACTGTTAAGACGAAAGTGTACCCCACTGCACTACCTCACGGGGACATGTACGCTCTATTAGGAGAGGTTTTTAGGTAACTAATGCAGTAAGGCGCGGAATCTAGTACGGGGTGGTCAGACGCCATTTAGAGGTATGTTTTTGGTGGATAGTGAAGGAAAAAAGTTCTGAATAAAGCCGCGCATATGTCAACCCGATGCGGTCTAAGTCCCAGATGGGAACGGACTTATGTTCCATATTGCTATAGTACATTAACATGTAAATATGACGTTACGTTACCATTAGGCCTCCTCGAGAACGATTCGAATATATTGCATCGCTCAATTTCAGTGTGGCTTTGTCAAGTAGATCTGCACACTATGTAGCGACTGCGAAGGATTCTATACAAAAAGCTTGTAGCACATACCTCTAATACTTCTGTAGTAAGATGCCACTCAGCCACTATGGAAGGAATGTGTTAGTAGACAGACTTGTTCATAACCACTTCTCTTTTCAACAGACTTACTTTTTTCTGTCCTGTTAACTGTTCTTGAAAATCAATATGGTATATTCTGAAGATAGTAGCAAATTATATATGGGTCTATTTGATTCAATAAGAAGATAGGTTCCTTGCGCAGTTCGTGACACAGAAAAATCTGACTAGAAAATAAGCTGATTCATGCAGGAAATGCATAGCGAGCATTGGTAAGAAAAAATGTCATTTGCAAGTAAATGGCAGTGCTTTAAGATGAAGCACAGCACGCAGTTCTTCATATCCTCCACATGTCCTTCATATCGCTCCAATAGACTGCAACGTTCTACCGAATCGCCAAACTAAAAAATCCAACAGGAGCAGTAGAACTTGGCCCTCAACTATCACGAACATGCGTTGGTGATATCCGTCACCCTATTTCGCATGGCCATGATACCACAGTCACGTGTTGCATACAATCAGACCATTGGCCACCACTTCGTGTGCTGCTATGTTCCTAAAGCACTCTTTTGCAATGTACAGTCATCACATGTTGTCGTCTGCGCTTTCGCATAAATACGTGAGCTGGTTCCGCTTTGCCAGTAGATCACGCGTCTACGTTTCAATCTTGGTAGGATCATTGACATCGTGTTGGAAAGCTTGATTCGACCTGTACTAAATTGTGTGTAATAAATATTTGGTAGAAAAATGCCTTCCAAGCTGCCATCAGAAACTTCCCTGCTAGAGATGCTGAACAATCATGGAGAATGTTCCAGTGCTGTCGGTGTGACGCCCAATTCCTCGGATGAAGCTTCAGGGTTAATCATCAATTTGTTAGGACCTGCCCACATCTCGGGTCAGGATTCTGCCAACCTAATATCAGGTACATCATTCTTGTTCTTGAAACACGAATATTCAAATGAGCTTTTATTTTATCAACCTTTGTCTAGACAATGTAAACAATTCAATATTTTGGCAGAACCCGTCGGTAATAATGGTCGATTCTTGTAGTGAATTATTTTACTACGTACGCATTTTACTGCGAATTTCCTCGTAATCAGCCCCGGTCCAATCGCGCTTGCCCCGGTCAGACACAAGGGCAGCATCGATTGAAACTAGATAAATTTATGTTTGAGGATCGGCATGACACGTACATTCTCATATTAAACCGTCGTAGTCATTGTCTATGACCTTTAACGCACCTTACCTGGATGTTCGAAACGATGATCTCAAAGAAGAAAATTTATCTATGCGAGAGCGAAATGGGTTTGGTTGCTTACTTTAACAGCATCGGTCTGTACGCTGCATCTGGTTCTAGAATAGCTGAGTGCATAATGACAAATTTATGTCTAACCTGAATTCGTTTTGAGAGCTGCCTCCGAGTTATGATTGAGTCATAAACACATAGCAGGATGTACTTAGGCCGATTCTCAGATATTACGCAGTATGTCCGATAAACTCTCTCGTGGCGCCGAACAAAGCGATATCGAACGATTTTTTTAAAAGTCCAAATCAGTATCTCGATGTTAACGGCGGCATCTCGCTGTTCTTACATGGCTATCGAACAACGCACCGACCTCTTTCAGGTGAATTCGTATGAAATTGATTTCATTGCAACATGCAATTACATTAACTAACTCTACGCTAGTTCAGATAGAGTCCACGTTGGCCTGTTGATTTGCGTCGCACAAAGGGCAAAGGGTAAACTGTAAAGTTATCTCGAAAAGCTCATTTTGGTTTGGGTCTCGACTAAAGGTTACAGCCAAGATTTTATTGATTATATTTAATGGGAGGTCATATCGATAGCTAAATGGAAAGTCTAGCATGAAATCAGCTGCTTTTTAAGAAAATACCTTTATATCCTTAAAGGACCGATTTATTACGGTATAATGTAGGCTTCTATTAAAATAGACTACAACGATTGCGAAACGTGTATCTACATACGATGCAAATGCTTTAGACCAACAAGTTAAGCAGTTTCAATGCACACCTTTAGATGATGATAAGGAAAACGCAGGAGATAAGAAAAGGAAGAAAGCTTCGACGGCCAAACACCCGGTCCGTAGAACTGAGCACAGCGCGTTAAGCCGATGGAAAAGAGACACCAATCAAACTTACCCGCTAGAGTATAGTTGGACATTTTGGATCACCGATGTAAGTTGACCGGTTTATGAATCAGCAATTCATATTTTTGTACTTGTTCGATATAGCCCTGCCAGCAAAAGTTACATGACTTCTACAGGCTAAGAATTAGCGTATTTGTTCTCTTAGGAAAATAGGTTTGCCTATTTGTGAAACTTCTTTCGCTATAATATTATATGATTATTATTAATTGGTTATGAATTGCAGCCTGAAAAAGACTGGCACAAGGCCCTGGAACGAATTCAAAATTTTTCAACCGTTCATGGCTTCTGGCAGCTGTTCAACGTTCTGCTGGAACCCTCAGCATTCCGTCATTATACTTATAATCTGTTTAAGAAAGGAATAAGACCCGAATGGGAGGACCCTGCAAATAAAACGGTAAAATATAATTGTGTGTTATTATTTACCTATTTATGTTAACGGAAGATTGCTTAACGTGGACGCCCTTAGTCGACGGCAATAGCGGTTTAGAAAAAGCTTGTAACTGAGGTAGTCCGACAAGCATGGGCTTATTATATGCGAAAACAGCAAAACCTAAATGTTCGATAGTTGGTATGATTTTAACAAGAACATCACTGATTCTGCTCTGAATGTTTTAGACAAGGCTTTTTATTTGCCCGTGATATCGTATGCTATTCGGTGCGTGGCAGATCTCGTTTTCACTCTGAACTATTGTCTTCTACTACCCGATTAAAAAATATAACATCTTCGAAAAAAATATATCAGGTATTTCAATATAGATATTATAAACCCATCCGAAATTATGCGGCTAGAAGATGCCGATGTTAGTCGTTCATGTTGGTGTTGGTGGTCGGTGGTTCACAAGAAAGTAAAGAAGCTAAATGTTTGTCAGTGTAGCTTTTTACTATCTCTTTCAACACAATATGCTATATGTCAATAACATTTGCTTTACGATCGCCTTACAATTCTGCCTATTAAAAATTTTATACATCGTTCAGCGAAACTAAGAGATGCTTTCTCGTTGTTGTCATGAATTGTTTAAATTAGTTAGCTAGCGTATTACACAGAACATTCTTTTTAAATAAATTTTATTTTATTTTAAAAATACATTTATTTTAAAAGTAAATTTTAGGTTGGCTGGTCGTAAATCTTTAGAAAACAGTCAACACGAAAGTGACTGTATAAAATACTCTTTTTTTTTTGCTTTTATCAAGTCCTCTAAGCATCCTTGTGCGTTCAACGCACGTAAAATTTCTCTTGTAAATATCTTCTTTTCCATACCCTACACCTCTGGATACGTTTTGCTAAAATTACCCGCATTACTGAAAGGGCTAGATGAGAACCTAGACAATTATAAGCCGACTTTTTGAAACAAAACCTAGGTGGAACTATTGTTATTTAAGAAATCTGACGTTTTTTCTTTGTATAGCCTTGTTTAGTAGTTGAAAGCAAATTAATTATGCGGTTACCATAGGAAGTTCCGACATTGGGGGTCAGTCTCACATACCTATGTGTCTAGCAGAACCCGGTATCCACCGATCGATCCTATAGTCTCGATTTAAAGTTACAAATATTCACTTCAACTGAATTGCTTAAGGCGGAATTGTTCTTCGGATTCGCAGAACCGGTTGGTGCACCTAAGTTCCATAAGTTACGTCAGAAGTAACGAAAAGACGTAAAACTGACGGACACTGTCACTAAAATCTTCAACGGAAAATGTACAATAAGAAGCCACTGTATTATTATTATGTAATACTGTAGTAGCTGAAAATTTTATGAGTGCATTTACTTAATTTCAGCTCCGAATGAAAGAAAAAGGGTTTTTGACGTCCCTGGTTTTTGGCAAATTATTCCCTGAATAGTGGTGTTAGGTGGGGTCAGGCCAATAATGTCCCCGTAATAATGCAGCAGTAACTTGTTTGCCTATTTACCCGTGAAATGATTTAGGTTCGAAACTGGATTATGTAGCATGCTTTAGCTAGTGCTGAAGCAGTCAATTAAAGCCATCGAAACAATGCTCGCCGGCAGTATGATGTCAACAATAATGGGAGTTTGGTGGCTTTATTCCTCTCTAGGTGTGGAAATATTCTGAGCTGACGTGACATGACATTGTTTTGTTTTTGTTTTCGTTTACTTAGGGCGGAAAATGGAGCGTCGGTCAAGCATGGTCTGCGCCACGGGTTGATGAAGTTTGGCTCGATCTTTGTCTCATCTGCATCGGTGGATATGAGCTCGGAAAATATTCGTCGCACGTCAACGGAGTCTACGTAACATGGAAACCTGAAGGGGCTCGCATATCTGTCTGGTTGAACACTATTGACAAGGACACGGTTGTGCCAACGGGCCAAATTATACAGAAGTGCCTCCAGCTTAGCCTGAAAAAGAAACTGCCAATGGAATTCGCGTATTTCAAAACCACACGCGGCAAGAACAGAGTTTTATATTCTCTGTAGATGAATGTAATGGAAATATGTGGGCCTTTAATCATAAGATTGGCCAATGACAACAAAAACAAGTGGATGAGGGCCCACATAACAGGCACGGTTCCTTCCAAATTCAAATTGAGCTCTATATACTGCTGCACCTGGAAAGCGAAATGGCTGAATTTATTTTAAATAAATTCATTTCATAATTTTTTTAGCCAATCGAATAAATTTTATGTCGTTTTTTTTTTAAAGTCTAGACCATTGGGCTTTTTTTGATAATCTGCCACGAAAGGGCAATTTTTACATTAAAGCTACGGCGGCCAAGATTTGACGCTGCAGACATTAGTCTCCAGCTTTTTTGTATTCTATTGTTTCCATGGAGATGTCGCTTTTCAACTCTAAATACGGACACTGGGTACAGGTCTCTGAGAAATTCATGCGTACCTTTGAGTGCGTTGCCATAGTAACTATGAATATGCGGCCAGTACAGGCTTGGATTCCATACATTTTGGATTAAGTAACGCGGAAAGCTAGCTCTCCTTTGCTAAATATGTCCTTTGAGGTACTTGCATCGCATAGACAGAGAGTCGCACTTTTGTGAAATAGAAGGTTATACGCATTCGGTGTCGTGCCCAATGCTGAATGCAAAAAAAGCCAGTGCAACCGGCCTCGTGTCTTGGTGGACGCATTACAATTGCAGAAACGGTTATTAGGTTGAAAAGTCTGTAGTTAAACGTTATTCAATTTTTTAACTACACACCACATTTTGTAAATATCTACATCACATTTACAACTATACGCGGATTGATAGTCATTACAGAATAATGTGTTTAGAAGTAAAAATATCATCTGGTGCTGAAAATCAATATTCCGAGATGAAATACGTTTCTCAAAAATAAGACCGCTGCTAGAACATACTGAAGATTGGTTAAAACACTAAACAAACAGTTCATTAGTAAAATGATAATTTACTACCATCGCAATCAAATTGGGAAGCTGAAAGCCACGCAGAAGGTAATTATATCCCGGGACCCCAACAGAGAAGGACAAGTTGCTCTTATCACAAAAGCTTCTCGAAGCGTTCCTGGCAGGTATTTAGCTGGCCTACGATATAGGACACGTGGTTTCATCTATCTTGTGTTCAATTCGTGAGAAACTCGTTTTTTGCGTTTCTTTCTCAGCCTTAGTATTTTTATTTCATAACTTGCACTTCAGGAAGACCTCTTCTATGATCTTAAACCTTTCAATTCCCGTTCAGATGTCGTCCTCTGACAAAACTTAGCTTCAAAACTTTTGACCCGACGAAATAGTTCCAGATAATCCAATATTTGGTTATGTTATATCTTATCATAAAGTAAAATACTTAGGCGTATTTCTGATAGTCAAGACTCAAAATGATGGTATTATTTTACTTCTTACAGCAGAGTTAAACCATGTATAACGCACAGCTTACCTGAAGAATAACGTATTAGGCGGTCACCAACCCCAGGTCGGTGATCGCTGGTAGTGATGTGTACATCTATAAAGTATTTTTCATTGAGCACTTAAGCTGAAAAGAAATGGAAAGAAACAGTTCAATAAATCTAGTCATACAGAAAATGTTACACCTTTGGGCACACTTTCCTGACTACCCTATCGTTGAAAATTTCCAAAGTTTCTATTTGTTATGCCAAAATTTTTCGTTCTGTCGGGGGTTTTTCCGCCAAAGCAGCTGGCTCTCTTTTTTTTTCTTTTGACTGTTACCGCCAAGCAATAATGCTCTTCTGTATACAATTGTAGTTAATAATTTATTAATAAGTTGCACCATACAAAATTCAGTGTATTTATAATGACGATTAGTAACAAAATTGGCTTCCGTCAATTTGATAAGTATAAAATAGATTTAATAATTTTAATTTAATCTGCTCCACAGAGGCGAGGAACATGTCATCCTCATTTAAGCTCTCGTTTATTACTTAGTGGCATGTAGTATATACGTATATGTATACGCCGTCATGGCCTCTCCTTTTATTAACTCCTGTTACGTTCGTAATAAAAGCGTAACACATTGTTTTCCAGCCCGATCGCGTTGTTCCGGTATGGCCGTTCCTAGTATACTACCATGCTATCCATGTACTGTGACATATATATTATATAGTTCTGTTACTTCGCCAACTTCCATCTCCGACTGGGGATGAGCAATCCATTACAATCGTGTTCTTTGTTAGTTATTATATATATATATATATATTAGGGGTGAGGCTGACCAAATATTGTTTCATATATGATCAGCTTACACACTTAGAAGCCATAATATCGAGATGTTAGGAACGAAAAAACACTTAACAACGCCGAATGCTGTTTCAATCTGCCCGGAATTATCTGGTCATGAGCATGGAGTGCATTAGGCAACTGTTTTACAGTAAATCGGTCATACGAAACTAAATATTTTAAGAAATAAAAGGGATGGGTAAGTTGACCGAAGTGTCTGATCTCCTTCATATTTATGTTTTGTCAGAACAAAACATAATAACGGACAGACCAATGATAGCTCAAAGCAAGAAATATCTATTCTTATTGCATGATTACCAGCATCCGAAAAAAACTGTAGTCGATTATGAAACACCAAAGCGACATAATCCTATCTAACGCATATTCGCCATCCAGAAAGTGAAACGAATGTCTATCGTCTGAATACAATTTCAGCCCGTGGCAGTAACTTTTCATATCGTAAGGACGCAGTCCTTCCACTCACTAGCTCGACACCATGGATCGCGAAGAGTGTGTGCGGTCCGCTAGTGAAGCGTAATCGCTTCGTAAGGACACTTCTTGCTAAAAAAAAGCTTCAGCTGTCTTCGATGTCGCCTGCCGGATCAGTTTGTACCACAATCTCCATTACGGAATCCTTACTACAATGTCATCGCTTTCGAACTTCTGTGAGTTCTGATGAAATTGCTTGTCCCTAGTCGCAAAGTGACACGCGTGGTCTTCGTTAACATGGTAATATTTAGTGTGGTACTGTACAGCGTAGGAAGTGCTAATCGACACGTGTCCAGAATCAAAGTTTTTATTCGACGCCATGTTGAAATCATTGACTTCTCCGTTATTCCACCGGCAACCTGGTAAGTTCCCTGAAACCATAGTTCTCCTCTTAAGTTTAGACTTGGCAGCACGCTTCGCGTGTCGCGATAATTAAAAGCGTTCTTTCCTTTTTGACAAAGGGAGAGAGATGGAACGAGAAATGAAGGCGGAACACAATAGTATCCCCAAGAGTTCCCGGAAATGAAATTTGTGTGTTGATTTGAGCAAGCTACAATTTCTAACCATTCTGAAGAAGATCTATAGGTCTGTCAGAGACTATTCTAAGTCGCATGGAAGTAGGCAATAACAAATACTGCCGATTTCCGGAAGAAATAAGTTTTTATCATCTTACTGAGAGTTCGTTCAGCCAAAAGAGCTTAAATGACGGCCCATTTTCACTCAGTTCATGAAAACGACGTACAATCTTCACCATAGCATAGAATTCGTTTTATTCTAGAAAGAACAGTATTAGGAAATACTTTTAGAATTAACAGTGGTAGGTAGAAGTGTACCCCTTAAAAAAAACAGCCCGCCGAAGTTTGTGTTAATTTAGGTGCTATACACGGTATTCAGGCGAAATCGTTCGGTCCAACCCCTTCATGTGAGCATTTTGAATCAGCTATAGATAATAACTATTATAATTTGAAAAGAACTCTTCGCATCATTCTGTTCATAGTAAGGCGTTAGGCTATAGGCTGACCAGCCATTTTAACCAAACTACTCTACTAAAGCACATTATTAAACAGCAAGTTTGTTACGGATGGATATTTGCCAGTCGTCAATGAGATTTGTAGAACGAATGTATCTGAGTCCAAGTTGATTCCTCTTACAGCAACCTTTGTTAATCCTATTTTATCCTTCTATAAAGCCACGCGGCTACGAGACGCAATCGGCAAAGCTTTTCACATCGAATTGAAATGAAAAAAAAAACATTCTAAACGTGTCTTATCCAGAAACAAGCGACAGTTGATTAAGGTAAGATCTAGCAGTTATTCTAGATGAACATAGGCATTAAAATTCTTGATTTTTTTAATTAAAAAATAAATTAAAAATCGATGTTTTGCTATTCTCGTTTCGTCCAATATTCTACGAGTGTAAACCTGAGTATCATTAGAGTAGGCGTTAACTTGCGTCTATTTAAAGAAAGATGGGCATTTCCCATGGGTCTCAATTATATCCAATTATCCTTTTTTTGAAAGCTTATTTAAAGTTACTTATGACATTTTTTTACATAGCTTATATATATTTTACTCTTACTTACGCCTTTGTCCAATTTCGGAGCTCATATTTGTAAATAACCTTGACAAAAATCACACATAGGGTTACTTTCGCGTCTGATTTAGTTAGTAATATACAAAATTCATTGATAATTTAGTAACTCTGACGAGATTCTTACAAAAGTGGTACGCATATGTAACACCGTTGCTGAACAAGGCTTGTTTGAAGCTACTAGATAAATTTTCTCAAACGCATAATGCCTACGACTTAATAGAGAAAGATCATCATTATCATCGCCTCGCGTATATGAAATATGTATGCAGCGTGGGCATGAGTGTAGCTAGAAATTGATAGCGTCCCTCATACTTGCTTTCAGACGACGAACAGTAGCCATGACGCCCTGTTCCAACGCGCTGTGAACGTGACCAACTTAGAGCAGCTAGAAGAAACAGACAGGATCGCACTATTTTCCAAACAAAGAAAAAACTAAGGTCGCCTTTCCATCTACCCCTGAACTCCTAATTCTCTAACAACAACATACCTGCTGCAAGAAGTGGCAAGCTTTTACGCTTCCCACCTTCTAGAAGTCAGATGATTTTTGGAAAATAGTTTTTGTCAAGAGCAAGACAGCTACCGCTGTTTAGTCGCGCATAATTAAGGTACGCTCAAACAAAATCTGTATGTACTTGTTGATTGTCGTCCAGATGAAAACCACAGAATAAAAGGAAGTGCGAAGTAGCTAGCGGCAGCTGTCTACGGGGGATTCACTTATCGTAGCATCAACCCCACTCGTCTCGAAATCGTAAAACAGGTGCTTCGGTAGACGACAACGGACACTCTTCGCCCCGATTCGTCAGCCTCCTTAATTGGTGGAGTGCCGCGGGCGACGCGTTCAGTCCTCCCCCAGGTGTTGTGAACTGAGATCTCTGCTTGAAGCGGCAGCTACAGCTATAAAAGCTACAGCGGTGAAGATGAATCGCAAAATGTAGCCTTTCAGGCCAGTGCCTTCCTGCATGCACGTTCTTGGTTACTGGCTGATTCATGAAATTGTCAGAGATGCAGACCACCCGAAATGTTAGATATATATAAGTTAGGTGAAGCAGTTCACTCACTTCAGCCCCCTAGCGTTAACTCTGTGTCCTTCTTCAAGCCTTAAGTCGGACGATGTTCCGCAGTACCTCTGTTGAGGCGATATGTTTACACAGCAATTGCTTACTAGGCCGTACGGGCTCGTATAAGCGCCTATTACAAAGTCAAATAGCAGTTCTATGTATGCTTCGTTTTACTTGGTAATAAACCATAATAACATACATACATATGTACATAGGTAGATTCTATCGGACAGGCGAACTAACATAACTGTTTTATAGCGCAAGACATTTGATAGCCCGTAATAAAGTTATGTAGCCGTACTGTTATTGAGGAAATGTTCATCTAGGTATACGATGCTAGCAGTTTTTTAGCTCGACTAAGGCCTGCATTTAATAAAGGAATACACATACAAAAAATAGGTATCCCAAAATGTGTGACAAAATACAAATGACAGATTGAAGAAATTAGACTTGAAAAACTTAGTAAGAATTATAAGGTTGCGGCTAATTGGAGTCACCTTTGAGTGAATTTACAGCCACGGGACATCACGAGGAAGAGTTGGCTTTAAACAAGCGTCAAATATGTAAGCACGCTTTTTTTTTGCTATATAAAATAATTTTTATTAATAATTTCTACCTTTGCAAGATACCTATATATAAGTATCTTGCAGAGGTAGAAATAACAGCTGTATTCGAATCTGCTATACTTAGATAGTAACACGGACGAACGGAACACGGAAGTGAGCGTATAAATCAAAAACAAGTGAACGCTACTTCAAGATAATATGTCGATATCAATTCAGGTCACTAGAGGTTTGTTAGAGCCGAATTTTATTACGCTTTAGGTTGTAAGGGCTATTACGAACGCCTGCTTATATAGGGTATTCGAAAAAATATTGATCGTTTTTAAGCCGAAATCATAGAAAACATCTTGAAACAGTACTTCTTTTATGTGCCATTTTAATGCATGGCCTGCGCCATTTCCCTGGTAATATCATAACGCCACCACTGTAGAACTTTTGTGATTTTTGGGCGAAGAAAGTCATAATTTCTGCAACCCTCAGTTGAAGCTAAACCACTACCGTGAAAGGGGTTCTGTAGAAACCGAAACAGGTAAAAGTCCGATGGCGCAAGGTCCGGGTCATATGGTGGCCCATCCAAGTTCTCTCAGTTTTTGCCAGGTAACTGGTCTGGTGTAGTTATGGTGGAAAACTACGCCTTTCCTGTTCACCAACTTCGGTCGATTTTTTTCTACAGTTCTGTGTAATTCTACAAGGTGCTGCCAGCAGAGATCCGAATCAATCGTTCCGACAGACAGCAGTTCATAATGCAACAGAATATAATACAGACTTTTTATCTAACTTGTATATTCTATTTGTCACATGCGGTCTACTTATCACCACCTGTGATTAGCTTATTTAGAAATAAGTGGATTTCTTTGCATTTCTGTAGATTGTCGTTAATGGAAATACGATCAAGAACATCTTCTTTGCATCAATTCGTGTGGCAATCTAACGTCGAGTTTTTATGTAACCAGCTTTTATTACGTAGTTGAAAAGTTTTGATAGTGAATACGCATTGGCCTTGGTCAACTGTGGAAAAAATATTGATCGTTTTTAAACCGAAATCATGGAAAACATTTTTTATTCGTTGTATTAATTTGCTGACCATTACAAGAAGTGTCTTTCACATCGAAACTTCCAGAATGAAAACGATAGAGCTATCCTTGGGCCGTTTCTTTTTCCTCGCTAGTGCACCTTGGTCTGGGCAGAAATTTCTTGTAGTAAAATTATAAAATAGAGCAAGAATTTGTGCTCTATTTTACTTTCAAGTACAACTGCCAAACCTTAGCTTTCAAATGACAGTGACGCCGACCCGAAGCGACTCATCAACATCAGTCTAAACTTAAATTTGTTTATAAAAAAATAATATATCAAAAACAGGCCATGATAATTTGAAACCGAAGCTACCTGTAAAAAAAAAAGCAGTTAACGCTTTTTCAACAGCTCAATAGATCTACGTTACATGTTGCACATTTGTTAGTTTTTGTTGGTGGCAAAAAGGGCATCGCTAGGTATTATTTATTACCTCACAGGTGCCTGGTGCCCAGACTTGTGTAAGGATCCGCCCTTTTCACTCAAAACGCCTGCAGCACTTGCTTGGCCTTCTATCGTAAAGGCTAGTGGTTCCTGCGCTGTAAGCGCACTTTGTAGTCTCTCGTTTTCAACACTAACGTTCACCGCTAATAGTTGATCGCCGTAATGTCGATAATTCCCGCGATTCGACGCGGTGACTTACGTTTGCAGAACATGCTGATACAGCCATTGGTAGTACCTAATGTAAACTAGTCAATTGAACGTTAAAATGTTTTTAATAATAACGCATACATAAATTACACACTACGAACTACTAGCTATCTTCTTTAGAATCGAATGGGCTACTTATCCTTAGGTGCACGTTAACATTGCGTGCATCCTATTTACAGCGTTCTCTGATAGAAACGCATAAATCGACAGATCCTCCAAAACATGCGAAACTAAGGGACGTCAGTATAGTTATTTGTCATTACACCAACGTATTTTCCACAGAATCCGAAGCGTAGTGTTTTGACACTATACATAGTCATCATTGCTGTTTTTCCAGCACGCGATTCATACTACCTGAGGTATCTGACTTCTAAAGAATCTAATTAAAAAAATGTCGATACTCCTTCGTCACTCTAATATTGTTCTTTATTCCGACCTTGTCTGTCGTATCCTACATTTGCCATTGTAAATCGAAGCCACTTCAGACCCATGCACCGAATCAAAAGGTGTCTTAGCTATTATTTCACGAAAAGACTAGGTTTCAAGCTACTGACATGCGACATTTGGCATCTTACTCGTTTCTTACGAAACCCAAATTTCACGGATTAGCTTTAGAACAATTTCAAAATCGACCCCATTATGTAATTTATGGGTCTACGAGGATGTGACAATCGGATCTGTTCGGACTTGTCGTGAATGTCGTATGATCAGCTGCGAATCAATGCTTGGACCTATATACAATTTACTTCGTTGAATCACTCGCCTGATATCAATGATGTAACAACGGAAGCAAAACAAGTAAATTAGCAGGCATTAGAAGCAGGCAGAAACTCTTTCAAAACAATGTAGGCAAAAAGACCTAATCTTTATTGTCAATGAGAGATTGAAACTGTACGACGAAGTCAATCGCAGAAACGACCGCTGGCTAATTTAGAAATGTTCCTAATTCGAGATAATGAAAACAGACTTTAATCAATGCCTACGTACTTCATGTTGTGTACACTGAAGAAGATGTCAAGCCGCCCTGTTTCTTTCAGAAAAAAAACGTACCTACTATCAAAGAAGTTTATTTGAATGTTGCAAAGGCTGCGATAACGGCGTGACTGGCTACTACATCGAATGATAAGACATCCATTTCTTCTAGTAAGTCACGCGGCTCAGCCGCTCTTACGGGCCGACGATAAGGAGAGCTGGAAGGCTCACTGAGCATATAAATAAGTTCTGACCCAACCATTGACGGCCTACTAACAACCAATATTTGAGGTTACCAAGTTACTCGGTGTGTTATTCAGTCAGTTCCGACGTAACGACGGGGACTCGCTCGTTATCGGTATTAAGCAGACGCTTAGACGGAAGGATGGAATGTTTTCGAATGTAATCGAAGCCAAAAGCAGTTATAGACACATGTAAAAGATACATCTACGTACCGGCTTTGATGTAAATATCGACAAGCAATAACAAAATTATCTCAGCGAAGATATCATAACTTTTTTAGCAAATGTATCGAGTACTTAGAATATAGTTCCACTATGTTATTTTTTAGGCGACAAGCCGCTTTTTTAATTGGATAGCTGCAGACGTTGCGTCTACAATAGGGCGGTCTCGCAGCCGTTGGAGATAGGCACATATATAAGCAAACAAAAAAAAAAATCGGAGAGACGATAACTGTCCTAATACTGTATATTAAAACCTGAAGATGAACTCAAAAGATAAATTAGCAAACAGCAAGGGATCGCAAAAGGGGTCTGGCCTACGGGGAACGGAACGATCATCATCGTTCTAATTATACGATCCGAAATGAGCAGATCGATAGAGTATTTTGTCACTCGACTTTTCGATAAGATGACAATAGTTCCTACAGTATACTTTGAATAAATTCTACGAGTTATGGTTGTAGAGTAAGCAAGCAACTTAAGGGACACGGCGCAATAATTTATTCATATATTTATAATAATGATGTGTAAATAATAATGATAATTTTACTAATGACTACTTAGATATAAACTACACTTGTATACTTTTCTTCTTTCCATTCGTTTTGGTGCTTCTCGCCCGAGCACTAGAAGGCAGAAGAAGATAATCAGCGCACGCCATAAATTGGCATGGCACTTTCCCCTCATCGTGGGTTCACGTGGTTCATGAGGAAAAATCCGTTATTTATTAAAAACCACTTAACTCACTTTAAAACAGCCATTTAATCCTTAAACATATAGAATAGGTAAGCTAAATGTAAGTCAGTAATCAGTCACCATTTAGTTACTTAGGCACGTCAAAATTGTTCAGCATGACTGTTATAAGCAAACGTTCCTGTCGCCGGACTTTTGCCTCTCGGTACTGTCTCTCAGTAGTAACTGCAGATCCCCAACAATATAAGCGTACCAATTTTCGTAATAGTAGCGAATACCCCGTGGCTTTGTGTTTGTGTTTGTGTGTGTGCAGTAGATGCAACGGATTCGGCAAATAACACCATCACGTCTAACTTAGTGTTATGGTGCTGATGGGCACCATGATGCACGTTTATTTAGTTGTTGATCTGTATAGATTCAACCTCAACGCAACAATTCGTTTGAACTGCTAATTCTGACCTCGCATCACTGCCAAATTGGACGCCTCATGGAAGATCCAATTTTTCGTCCTCACTGGAGCAGTTACCCCTCACGTGAAGTGATACTTCCAAACGTAATTACGTTGTGTTTATTACGCATTGCGATGATCCGTATAATTATCTCTGTTGACACTAGTGCTCGTTTACAGAGGGTTTTTCAGTTTTGGCGTTTCCGGCTCCTGAAAAATTCCGAAAATGAAATAATAAGTTCATGGCACCAGAGGCTCTCGAATGTTTACAATAAGTAATTTTAATGTAAATTAAATGTACGGACTGTGCAATTTGCTGATAACTTTTTTAATCGCAGTGCATCCAGCCAATACAAATGACAGCTAATTAAGAACGTGTCGTTGATCACATACGAACATATAGCATGTAATTATTCTTTTTTTTTTTTAAATTTTCAACAGTTCAGCTTCAAGCGGTTTTCACCACGTCATGAACCGGTACTTAATTGATTAGAAATCTCCTTTTAGCTTTTCGTTTTCAAGCTGCCTACTTTGACGTTTATTATATACTGCAAGATAAGTAAAGCTACAGCCTGCGATTCATATTGTTTTAGTTAAACGGATGGCAACCGCGCAGCAATTGCGAAGTTCGGTGGTGGAATGTTTTTCCTCTAGCGTACTGCAACACCAGTGAATCCTACATGATATACTACATCAGCTGGCTTAAGCTTGAGCTCTAATGGTCTTTAATGGCTAAAAATATATACGAAAGGGCCGTCTACAATATTTGACGACCGCTACCATTTGAAAGACGTTTAACCATTTAAGACGATTCAATTTAATGTGTAATGCAGGCTCCACTGGAATCAGTTCGCCATAGCTTTTGAAAACTCACTAGAAATAAAATAATAACCAGAATAGCACGTGAAAACGGTATTCAAGACGTCCTTCTCAGATTTCTTAGTAGGCCAAAGCTAGGCCTGAAAGATGACTGTCCTCAGAGCATGTTTGACATAAAGTTGCCATACCTGATGTCGAATTGAACGATGTTATTCAGCGTTGAACTATTGTTTTATTACCAAAAAGCGATAGCATATAGGTTATTTCAGATTGCTTCTTGTGTGACTTTTTGGTTCCTGCATGCTTTCTAATACTATTTTCCACTATATATATATATATATTTATTTATCGACGTCATAGCGAAGGTGAACAGATCTGAATGTTCGCATCTAATACATCCATCATTAGGCACCATTTCCTACATAAAACAAAATAGAAATTCTATTCTGTGTTCAGTAGCTAGGTCAAATGCCAATGACAGGAGCTGAACTGCACACGGCAAAACTTAAAAAAGTATCAGTTACCACTACTACTAGAAAAATTTCTGATTTCAAGCAAAAGCTCGGTTCTATCGTTGAACAGAGTTAGAGCTAGGCCAATAAAACTGAATGAAATTTACCTCTCCGTCGGAAGTTGGTTCGTCTCCAAGCAACAGCTTGTCTCTTGAGGGTAAAGGATTAATGTGTTTGAATTTGCTTCCTCCCTTTGACCCCGTGGCCATTGCCCCTGTCCGCTGGAACAATCGAGCCATTTGGGCAAATTTACGTTTCGACACCTTTCCCATACTCTTCAATTTTTCTCTGCAATGACAGTTCAATACTAATATTTTAGCAAAGGCATAAAAATGGTTATAATGCATAATCTAATGGATCGTCGAAGGTTTCGGAGTTTAATGGACAACTTGGGAATGCCATTCCAGCTAAACGCCTAACACGGCTCACATGATTATTAGGGATCCGTTCAGTGGAATATCCAAGAAAACGTTCTGCATACACTTGCAGATAATTACGAAAGTTGTTAAAATACATACTATGAATTATCGAAGTTTATGTAGTAAAGTGTATGATATTAATTGGCTTAAACTATCATCGGTACATCTATATGGAGAACCATCGACAACCATCAGTATCATATTAGCGACATATGACCAAACAGGGTTGGCTCTTTACGATCTCATGGCATGCATATCTAATGAACCAGTCCGTTTATCATATTTTCACTCATGATCTGTCTTACATTCGTAACGGACTCATCTTTCAAAATCGAAAAGGTTTTATTCAGTACGAACCTGAAAACTGCGTCGTCGTGCATGTGAGCCTGCGAGTCGTCTCCTTTGTGTCCGCCAGCCTGACCGCTGTCTAGCGAACTCATGAAATCTTTGTTCCGCCGTAATTCACGCATAAACTCTTCATTTTGCAGGAATATTGCCATGCGTTCATCTTCAAGAAATTGTGCCAGCTCCGGATCGGCCGGACCTCCAGGACTCGGCTCGCCGCTACCACCGGATGCTGTTGCACCGCTAGCAATTCCTGACCCGGCGCCATCAAGTCGCAAAAACGATCTGGAATTAACATACGCGCTGGATGATTATCCTCGGATTGTTACCAATGTAACAAAGCACATTCGTGCCACATCGAATCTAAATGTCGAATTAAACAATAAGCGGCCTTTAAGCAAAAACTTACTTTGGCAGAGGACCAAGTAATGGCGGGTTCCAATTTTTAAGGTCTCGTAACGCGTGTTTGCTTCTTCTCGAGTCCAAGTCTAGCGAGCTCAGACCTGGAGACCTAACGCACATCAAGCGGTTTGTAACATTAAATGTACGAAATGAACATAATCAATGGTTTAATCTACACAAAATTTCGTAAGAAAATGTCCGTAATGTCGAAATTCACTTCACATTACAATTGACTTTGGTAGATTGTTTAAAAATTGCATAAGATTATCACGAGGACGCTGAGATTAAGTTGTTGAACAGGCAGATTTATATCTTTGAGGCAAAAAAATCCAATCTGGCCACTTCAAAATTTTAAGCTACACACATGCTTACATAATTCATGTATTTGCATTATTTGGTGAGTATTTGAACTTACTGATGTGAGTTGATATCAGCCGACATTGCAGATTTTTAAATAATATTAGTGAATTTATACGATATTGTGAATATGATAGAGTTTCTATAACGTCACGTATTTTGCTGTCAATGTGGTCAAAACGTCCACTCTATAGGAATGTGACGTAAGACTTCCCAGCTGCGGATTACGCCTACGACTAAACATGTTTTCGACAAACACAAAATTGCCTGATTTAGAAATTCTTAAGCAAAAGAAGAGACAGTCGTGCAAGGGCTATAAATACAAATTAATAATGGTCAGGTACTTTGAATATCAAAACAAGGATCACATGAACAGCCTACTATCCAGTATATATTGGTTCTTGAAAACTTTCTCTTACTACTTTTTTGACAACATCCTAATCTCATTACCGTAGAACATACAAGTCGTTTCTGTATCCTTCCGTTAAAACGAAGTTAACATCGCTGAGATAACTCCGCTTATGTTTGCCGGTAATTGAAGATTTATGTGGCGTGGTATTGTCATAATGAAAGACACCTTTTCTGTTTACTAGTTCCGGTCGGTTTTTATTATGGACCGTAGAGGTCCGAATCAATCACTTTGCACGGCGGCAGCAACTCATGATGTAAAAGTCCTTTCTAATTCCATCAAACACATAGCATCACATTTTTTGGCATCGGTCTAGGCTTGTCAGGAGTGTAGACATGTTTGATTTACACGTAATTGTCGTATGTGATCATCAATGATCAACCGCCTTAGAAACGGCTCAATTTAGTTTCTCGCCTGAAAATATGATCAAGCAAGTTCCTTTGGGTCAATACGTATGGCACCCAAACATTGAACTTTTCTGCAGCCAGTTTTCTTCAAATAGTTTAAAAACGTTGAGTATTGGCTGGTTAGTTTGTAAGCCATATCAATCAATTAAATTTTATGTATCCACTTCTGCTGATAGTGGTCAAAAATTTAATAAATACAGGTCATTTGGCATTCGAATATTAAAGAAATAATCCAAAGGAAACGTATAGAGGACCATTATAGCGCTACATCGTATGGACTATATGGATCTTGTTGAGTTTGTAAAGCTAATTTGAAAGATTTGCCAGATCTCCTAAAGATGGTACCAGAGGTCATCTCCCATCAATCTCTGCGAATTATTGCTTTCAGTTTGTAAGGTCCATTTTAAAGGCTTCCATTGCTGGGACCCCCAAGCGACTCGGCGAGTACTTTGAGTAGTTCCAGTGCTCTTTTGAAGAAGGGAACTTCGGCGTGTAAAGAATCAACCGTAAGTACGGAATCCGGTTTACATAAGTAGGAGGCGAATTGGTGAGGCGCAAACTGTCAGTGGCTGCTGTTCTGTACTCCCTTTAAACTTCATCGCCCCCGTTTGGGTCAGGCTTAAGGAAGTTACAAATCTGTAACTGCCAAGTAGAGCGAGCTAGAGTTTGCTGCGCCTAAAACTAAAAAATTGAGTCGTGAGATAACTTCATTCCTCGGTCGTTTCGTTTGACCAGGATGGCCCTTTAGCAAAATTTAGAAAAAGAATGGACTTAGGTCGTCCCTTCGAGCTAGGTCTATATGAATAGCCACTTCATCGTTAATGGCTATACTTTTTTCCTATAAAATCGTACCGAGAAGGTTAAGCACATTCATAGGGATACCCACGTACCCCTCGAATCGAAGGCCGCCTTGAAGTTGACAAATAGCACGTATAAAGGATCCCATAGCGTGACCGGTGCTCCCTTGACGTCGCCACTAGGGCCCTGCACACAGTTTCTGTGGAGGCCTCTCTCCGGAACCCATTTTGCTCGCTGGGATGACGTGTACGTAAACATTTCGTAAACAGTATTGCTTTGCAAGGTGCCAGAACGACCGCGCATTTAAGATCCTCGTTGCAGACCCCGTATGGGCCAGTGGCTTTCTTTTTGCGTAGACTCTCAAGATTTCGCATTAGTTTCCACATTGTGAAATCCTGTTGAAGAATAACATATATTTGGTGAGGATCCCTCGTCCTACGCGGCGGCGTAAAAGTGCATCGCGCATGGTATCATATTCCCCGAGAGGTGATTTATAAGGGCAAATCGAGAAACTGCCGAGCTACCGTAATGCGTTAGCCATTTGTGTGGTTGACTTTCGCGTGTTATTGCCTTTGTGAGACAGATCGTGTTAAAAACAGAGGCTAAAGGATAACAGACGAGCTGTGTTTCGGCCATTTGAGGGCACATATAGTTTACAGGCAGACGGTATTATAGACTGGAAAATCTCAACTGGACACTGCGCATAAATTCCGGTTTTCATCACTTCAAATACAAGGAGAACCTTGTGAATGCGTTCTAGGCGCTTATCTGCATGCACTGAACTTGGCGCCCGATAGTCCGCTCACGTGCAGCTTGGACAATTTTGGAGATCCAACGCTATCGGTGCACGGGCACGATTGCTTGCGCCCTCCAGCCAAGAATAATTTTCACCCTGAAATTTAACTTCATCGTTGGTTGCATTTGTTGCGAATATTAACAATCGAACTTCGTGGGTGTCCTAGAATGTGGTACTGAGATGGGATATACTACCCAGCAATTAAGTCTACAAGCATGTCTTGAAGGGCCGTAGTGCGGCCTGAGTTCGGCTGGTCCAAGGGGGCACGGAATCGACGACAATGGGCAGAAGAAAAACAGAACGTTAGGTCTTCGCTCCCAGTCCGTACGTTCATCCCGAGTTAGCAGGCTGAATAAGTTGCTACGAGATTCAGTCGTTGGCCACGTAAGACAATCACGTTATAATACATCAAGCGCGGCGTGAGGTCGCTAATCTTATAATTGCACAAAATAGAAATGCTTCCAGTAAAACGGCCTTGTCCGTTGTTCTTTACTTCAGGACAGTGCACAGAATACAAACGCGCTAAACTAAAAGAGTTAAGTGCTCAACCTTCCGTCATCACGAGGATGTCTACATTTTCCAAAATTTGAATTCAAAAGGAGCAGCACCAAAGCTGTAGCCTATTAATAGTTTCACCGTATTACCCTTCAATAATAATAATCAGGAACCTGCTTCACAAAGTCCTCGATCGTTGGGGCGGGTAGGACTTAATAAAAGCGGAACATATAGCAATTTTTTTGCAAAAATGTCACTCACTTTCAAGGCGTTCTAATAATTTTTGTACATCTCCTACTGCGAAATCTCAGCTTACAAATGACGGTAACGTTGACCTGTTGCTACTTATGAAAAATTAGTCTGCTAGATGGTTTCGATAAGTTAAAACCGAAGCTACCTAAAAAAACGGCCAATACTTTTTCGACAGTTCAATATACATGTGACATGTTGTACATTTATTAGTATTTACTTGTGACAAAAAATACATCGTTATGTATTGTTACCTCACAGGTGACTGCTGCCTGGACTGATGCAAAGATCCACCGTTTCCATCGCCAGCACTCGCTTGGCCTTCTACCGCAGAAGCTGGTGGTTCCTGCGCTTCAAGTTGACTTCGCAGTCGTTCGTTTTCAACATCAGTGCTCATCGCCAATAGCTGATCGATTGTCGCGTCGACAGTCCCTGTAGGAACAAATTGATTCGGCGTAATTAGTTACGTTTTCAGAACATGCAGAATATAAGCTAGACGAGCGAACGGTGTTATCCCGCACTTGTAATTCTTTAGTAATAACGCGTGGAGTGCGTACTTACATATATTTTCTGAAGGTACGGCAAGATCTTTATTTGTCATCACAATATGTGAACCAAGGCGCAGTAACCACCATCACCGCTAGTACCATTATCATCTCTTCTACAAATGTGTATGTAGTGAATAATGCATTATCAGTAGAGCGAAGTCGTTCAGTTGGTTACAACCTACGGCATCAACTGTAGTAATAGTACCAATAGCTCAATTGCAGTCGCCACTTAGGGGGCCTAGAGTGGGGCAGGGGTTCTTCGCTGCCATGCCAGCCTGGATGTCTTGCCAGCAGTGCGATGACATCGTACTTCAACCTTTGTTTGGTGCTAATACGTCGGAATGGGCTAGCCTTAAATCGGCTGACTGGATCAGACGCGACAAGTACGCTACTGCCGACTGGCCAACTTCTACATACTCTTACAATCAAAGTGAACATACATGTCACTTGAAAAATGAGCAAGCCCCACCTAAACACCCCAGTGGAGCTTTACCGTAAGTAACGATGCGAAATTGTAGCTTGCTATAAAATAAAAGATTCATTTTTCGCCTGGATTCGCGAATGAGCGACACATTTGTCCCTATTTCACCCTTATGACCTATATGTCTTTTATCATAATTAAGGTGGAAAATAAAACATTAAATAACGATCTAAACGCACCTTGGAATCTAAATCAGTTTCCAGTTCCAATACTATTACGAACAAAAAGGAGCAAAAATAGATGATCTCAATCGATTTTGACAGGAGCCGTTTCCTCATAGTAATAGCGTGTTTATCAACTAAACTAACGTATATTTAGAATGGCCTCGGAATAGAGCATAGACTCACTTTGTTTTGTGCCTGGAAGGGCAAGTCGTGTGACCAAACATGTAGGAATTCTTTGCTCAGACGAATAAGCATAGATATAAAAAAATAACTTTAATATATCATCTTCACTGTTACTTTTAGCCTTTGTGAAGCTATGTTTTTCCGCCCTTTGTTAGAATAGAGTGCGTTTACTTAGCTGTTAAGTAACGGCACAATTCAGCTAACTGCACCCCATATTACATCGTTATATTGAAAAACGATCTAGGTATTATCCCAACACAACGGTCGCTTCGAGAACATTTTACGCAGCTTGTTCAGACCTGGCGAAATGCGTGCCACTTTGTAAAACTCTGAAGGACACCAAACATATTCTGTAGCAAAATGACATAACCTTGTATCTATCTGACTGCCATTTAATTCAGAAATTACACTTACCCAGTGAAAGTAAAGCAAATGGAGATAGAAGAGGTAAATACTGACGATGTTATTAATTTTTAGGTATAAGTAAATTTTCTATAAACATAGACAGCATATACCTTTATCATAATGCATTTTGGAATGTAGCGAATTATGTCAAATATCTTACTCGTCTTTAAGGCACCCCATCTTAAACCTGAATAAGGTCATTGTGACAACTTTAGCACATCTACCGCTGGCCCCAAATCTCATGTGTGAAATTCCAAAATTAACGTCGAAATGCAACAGAAGCAGTCGTCACTAACTATTTTCACTTTAAGCCATAAACTCATACAGTACTACAAGTACGTTTAACACCGCTTTTGTGTCACAACTTAGAGACAATAACTTTCTATAAAAGCCTCTCAGGAAGTTGAAATTTACAAAAAAAAAAAAAAAAAAGATACTGCTTTCTTTTGCTGCTCGGACTTAAAGCAGAATTCTTAAAAAGTTAAAGTTCAGAAACTCTGTCTTTGCCACTTAGCATTTTAGCAAAATCAAAGGAGACACAATTTTCCATAATCACATTCATATGCTAGTAGCAGGTACTATATCTAGCTATGTGATGAATATGTAAATCTCAGATGCTTAGGGTGACTATTTATTGTGCAAAGGTGAAATACATCCTCGATTTGCGTCTTCTCCCTTATCAGGATCCTGTTCATCAGATAAAGTTTACATGGTAAGCACTTTTGAACTTATTGACTAGCAATTATCTGAATTATAATCGTGCATTCAGTGTTACGTCCGATTAGGCACCTGTGACTTTTAACCCAAATGAGACCCAAAGCAGTTTCACTCGCTTGCTGGAGGACGCTATACGACCCAGCAACAATCGAATAACACCAAAGAATTGTTCCCATGGTGACAATAATTAAGTGTCTGATATGGCCTCAAATACCTTCCAATACTTATATGCGACCATATTTCAGCAGCTTCGACCATCAGATTGTCGAGAAATGACACGTAGTATGCCGGCGTTGTTTTTTCTTATCAGGGCTGGCAACTAACGCAACAACAATTATTCTAAAAAAAATCACCATCACTTCCTCGACCGATGGAGAACAACCTTTGCCTTTTTCGGAACCGACTCTCTTTCTCTCTCTCTCTCTCTCTCTCTCTCTCTCTCTCTCTCTTTCTCGTTGGTAGTGTCGAATGTTCCGAGTGAATGACTCTAGTGATTTATCCAGATTTCGTTTTACAGTAACTAATTTATTCGCTCATGTTGCATCATCAGGGGGTCTTGGTTTGAGTTGAATAAGCTTTTGGTCCTACATAAGCGAATGTGACACTATCCACTTTGTATGCTCCACTCTTAGTCAACACATAAAAAAAAACACGTTCTTTCACACAGGCTATAACTACGGTCGTCTAGCACTATTTGGGGGGAACTTTTCCGATGTCGTCGGAAGTGCAGCCATTTCACACGTTCACCGTCGATCGGTGCCCAAAATTTCACAGTGGCAGACGACGGCGCAGAGTTTCTCTAAAAAGAATCCATCTTGGCTCTGACTTGTACAAGCGTATTGCCTTTGCAATGCTAAAATATAATAACCACTCGATATTCGATTTATATGGAACACCATCGACTGTTAAACAATAACTGAACGTTCAGCATAGTTCAAATTCTCACGAATGTTGTTCAATGCACTTGTACCACTAGAAAATGTTCCACAAGTAACACTATGTTAAGAGAAAAAACTTTTCATTCTACCCTTGTAAATAAGCTAACCCCCTGGATTGCTGACAAAATCTATATGTATATATATATATATATATATATATACATAGTCTAACTTTAAATGAGCTCGTGTAAATCATAAATCAAATAAGTGCTAGAAAACGCTTAATCAGCTATTATGTGTGATCCAATAAACGTTCTGATCTCATAGAAATGAAAAAAATCTGCTTGAAGGTTTAGCCATGTTGCGTTTTCTAGTCCTTTGGGCCCTAACTAGGCCGCAAATATAACCATTTAGTACGCCACAATGAGCTGCTCTTACTTAGGCCCAAATGCTCAACGGTTCGAAGTCACAAGCAGAACTTGAGGCGCCGAATTGTGGGAAATGGTTTGTGTCTGTTAAATGAAAAGCTTTTTTAAAGACTACATAAATGGCTACTAATTCGTATGTTGCATGCTAATTTTTGTCACGTCAATTAAGCTCTAGGGAGGTAACGCCATTTGAAAAGTCTCACTTCTTTGACGAGGAAGAACTTCCTGCGGAGCTTAATTTGGCAGATTATTGCCATTTTTTTAAATACAGAATGGAGCTTTAACCTTATACAACCAAATACAAAAAAGTCCCGCCAGTCCTTCAACTTGATTGCCTGTTAGTTAATAGTGACCTTGCGTTTGGATATTTTAAACCCGCAGTAACCATATGCCTATATGTCTGAGTAAAAGCAGAACGCACACTTTTGAGATGAAAAGGTTTGAAAAATGTATGCCACCGAAGGCAACAAAGCACGCAATGTTTTTAGAGCTAAAGATTCATAAATTGGTAATTGACTAATATTTTAAAACTTAAATCATTCATATAATTGAATTAAGTTAGCCTGCTTTAACCATTCAGCCTAACAGTTTTCTTCGCAGCCTTTCGATTATACAAGTTATGGCGTTTTCGTCAGTCACAAAAAAAAACATTCAAAACAATCTGAGAGAGTTATTACTTTATTTCATGTAACATAGCTTGACAATATGAGTAACTTTTGCTTATTTAACAAGTTGGATATACTAACCATGCCGCTTCCAAAAGTGTTGTTCAAAAAGACTATTATTTAACTCATAAGAACAATGAGTTTGCTCAAATGGCATTTATCTAATGATAGCTACGTTCACTTTTTGCGCCCGCAAGTTTAAATGATAACCAAAGACCACGGAAAAAGCCAAGCTACGTCGCCATGTTTAGAAAAACGATTCAACCACTTTTTAAAAACTATACATATATATACAAGGAGAGCGTAACCGCTAATTGTAATTACCATTATTCGCGCGTAGGACTGCCTCGATTACATCGGGATCCATAACTGGAAACATCGTCTGGAAGTCCTTCATAGCCTTCAAAGAAAACATAGGAAGTTTTATTGTTGTTAGTAGTAAATTCATGTACTTATAAATACTGCCCTTCACAAACAAAGACAACGTCTCGAGTAAAATTTAATTACAAACTTTTCTATGGTACTTATTCATGAATATAGATTGCCCAATTTAACGTAGATGGAACAATTACGCAATAAAACAATTTAATGTAGATCCAGCTTATTGCAGCTATGGAACAATGTAGTAGCATGAAAATATGAAGCTTTGCCGTTTAATCGTTCAATCAACGAACCTGGTGAAATTCGAGCTGAGTAGCGTCTGCAGGGGCTGCAGCTGGCGGTCCCCGAAGAGGACTGACCCCGCCTCCACCGACCCCAGTATCACTCGTTCTACGGACTCCACTACCACTTCCTCTCCCGCCACCTTCCATCATATTGATGTCCCTGTTGTTGTTGTGCCGCTGCTGCTGTTGTCGTCGTCGTCAGTTTACGTTGGGCTCTATACCTCTGTGGCACCTCTAATTAGTTTTCTCCAACTAACTGAAACATAATGAAGTTAAAAAACTTTATTTAGTGCATAAGCATAACCTGCAAGAGTGCAAGCATGTAGTTCATATAGCGTTGGTGAAAGCTCCCCGATTTGTTATAACTCTGACTAATGTATCCACAGAACCACAGAGCTATAATATAATTTACTACAATCGTAGCACCTTATATTCATATCTATGCACGGCTATACAATCAAATACAGTTTATTATTAGATTGTCTTATTGAAAGTTAGCGATTAAATCTAACAAGATCTCTAGAAATCTAGCGATTAAAAACAACAAGAAAATGCATTGTAACTCACTAACTATGATGGAGAAAGTGAAATAACAAAGGCGGAAACAGTCACTTAATGAAAACTGGACAAATGAGACGAAACGCGAAAAGACAAGTGATTTCCAAATTCTTTAAATGATGGAATCAGCTACCAGTGATAGGAAAAACGTCTTACAAGATCGGACATTGATAAGTTAGTCTTTTTTACAAGATTTGGTAAAATATATTTGGCAAATATTAGTTCCACGTATAAGTACAATTAGCATTTTGAAAGTTTGCGTTATTATTTTTCCAGATGTGTTACAACCTTTAATATGACTAAAATCGTTACAAATGAACACAGAAATTTTAAACTGCAACTTTTTTGATAAACTGTAAGGAACAAACCCGTTATTAACTTACCTCGTACTTTTACTAAGAAATCTTGCATTGACTGTTCTCCATACTAGCCGCAATTTTTTTATTTCATTATTATTATACATGCAAACAAAAAGTATACATCATTAAGATGTATATTTTTTGTTTTTTTTTTTTTGGTAAGCATTAAGTTCATACGTATACACCTGATTGGGTTTCAGGCTCTTTCGAAAACGCCAAATTAGACACACAGTAATTTTCTAGTGTATTGTTTTAACTAATTGGATTTACGTAGATACATCCTAGAATAACTTTTGTCGATGATCCTACCAAATGGCGTTATTTTTTGTACCTGCCGTTATAACTAACTTACCGTTATACTACGCAAGTGCAAATAAATTACCCCAACAAAAAAGCAAATGAATCTCAAAGGTTTATTCACCTTTGTGAATCATTTGCTCGATTTGACCTCATTTTCCTATTTAAAAAATATATTAACTTTTGAAGTTTCGCGAAATAAAAAGTATCTCTGGTGATAATCAACGTTACTTCTACCGTCATATTTTTGAGCAAAAGAATTATCACTCCCACCAGAGGATTTGCACCCTTTAATTTTGCCCATGATGAAAAGATGCCCAAGATGAAGATATAAAATGGGTTTTTTTTTCTTAACTCATTGAAATATACGTTAAATACATGTGACTGTTGACATATCTTATTGTGTTACATTAAGTAAACATCTGCATTTAGAATCCTTAGTCACGTGCGGCATGCATCGCTGTTGCGCGCAGCTATCTGCGAAACTTCCAAGTAATGGCATTTTATGTAATATTTCCAGGATTTAAGTTTCGCTTATTTTACAAGGGTTTATAAAACACTCAAACATAACTGCAAAAACGGCGCGTCAATATTGTTTTTCTCTGAAGCTATCCAGTTAGCCAGCTATCTAGCTACCTGTCAGATCAGCTGAGACCTCCCCTCCGGAGGAGCTGCGGCTCTTTCTACTGGGGATCGTAATGGTGGTACTGGTGATGAACTGCGATTTGTTGCAGGTGGCAGTACGGCAGATTTCGATGGGGTCACGGTTTATTCGATCGTAGTCTGGGTTGGATCATGGCTAACCGCTCTTCGGTCAATTTCAAATCGCGGTTAAAGGTCGGTACCATTTCGACTAATGGAATTCGCGCAGGTCTCAGATACACTACGTATATATGCTGAACATATTCCGCTCAGGGTGCGCATAAAAGCTAATTGATATAGATCCGAAGAACCGCTAGTACGGCGAAAGATGGCGGCCTCAATTACGAGTGCTGGTCAAGCACGGTGAGGACAACTTGGACCTGCCTGCAGTGAACAACATCAGGTTATTCCCGTGGCAACAGTAATAGTCTGATCTGGACATAAATGGTATCTTCGCCTATATTTCTCTTTACATTTTACATTAGTAATGGATTTCTCGGTGTTTATGTAAACAGGAGACGCTATGTAAAATGGAGTTCGGCTAAAAAAACACCTCCGCTCAAAAATACATTATTTTGGTGACTCGCTGCAAGCACTGTCTTTGTATACGGGGCTCCCGTGTTTAACGTGTACTTGACTTATGTGTGACATATATAGCTTAATGCCTTGACAATAAGATATGAAAGAAATTGATTTACTTTTGCACTAAATATTATGAAAGCACTGGCATTACAATTGAATAAAAACAGATATTCGTTTGAACAATAGTGACAAAGTTAAAGGCCGATTTAACCTATCGATTGGGTCCTTAGCTTTTAGGCAGGTAGGTTCTTTTTTATAACTACATCGTATCTTTCTTTCACTTACAGCAAATTAGGATATCGAATTCAGCTTTATATGTCATTACAAGAAAATTTGTAGATGTTATCTCCAAACGATGAATGGTGTGTAAATAATTCATCGCTTAGAGTTAACTATAAATAGGCTATGGTTTGACCATCTAGAATGAAAAAAGCATAATAATTATAAGATTTAAGCCAGTCGTTTAGTTTAGTAAATCACTACAGGACGACAACACTAAAGTGTCGTCACTTTTTTTTGACTTTTGCATGACTTTTTGCAAACTTAGTTTGATCAGCACAATCATATATACAAACTTGACTCGAATTACATGAGGCCAAAAATATCAATATTACACCAATCGTGTTAATACTTAATGGTCATATGTACCTTCCAAATCAGCAGCACGGCTGCATTTGTGTTCAACTACTACTAAAATCATATTTAGGGTGCATAAAAAATTCGATCATGATAATTTCAGAAAATATAGCTGCTTGTCGGATAACGCTTCTTGAAAATTACGGTGATACTACACTCTGGTAGATATAAGAAAGCTTGTGTTAAAGTTTTATGTTTGTATCGCAGCAACGCTGTGCAAATTGCAAATCTTGTCGCTGGATTTCAAGATACAAGATCACACGGGATAGATGCATTTGGTGGGAAATGTTGTCCGCATTGTGGGCGCGTTCTTTTCCAGTGGCGCCCTCTGTGGCGGTCACTTAAACTAAGTTGGTTTTTGTGCGGCGTAGGTGGTTGATGGATCTGGGAAAGAAGGGTGAATAGAGAAGGAAACAAAGCCGTGCGGGGAGCTATTATTGTCGTCCGTTTGTGGTGCTGCCTCCGCAGCTGTCGGCTCGCTTGCTGCAGCTTCTCCGCTGTTGCCCGTCGTCGTCGGCAAAGTGCACACCGCTGCTGCCACTGTTGTCGTCGTCGTCGTCGAGTGATTATTGCTGAACCAATGTGTCATGACGGTGGTCGGTTACACACAGTGTCAGTGTGAATGTGTTTATGAAAGGAGCAGGTCCGCTGTTACTGCTATTTGAGTCAGCATCGAGTCGGTTTAAGGCCAATTGTCAGTGGGGCACTGAACAAATCGTACAATAAGCAAACTTCATGCACTACAAAAGAAAAAAGGTATATCGCTGACGGAATAGTATTGTTTTAGTTCCTCATTCACAAGTCGTTCGTGTACGCGTAGCTTAGATTCTCTCTGGACGGTTTTGTTCGAACCCGGACCGACGTAAGAGGTGAAGTGCTTGCAGGCTGTCAACAGGCTGAGTGCGGTCGGTGGCCGCGGCGGCACCGCTGGCAGCAGCAGCAGCAGCAGCAGCAACAGCACCATCGGCACGACCACTACAGCCTGCTGCCGCCTGCGACTGCTTGTTCCTGCATTGATCCTGGATGACAGATAGGTAGCAACAGACCCGCGTTTCGGAGTCACTTCAGACAACAACAACAACAATTGGACTGTCCAAACCAACGGCAGCAGCACTGGTAAGAGCCAACACGTTCGAAGTTGCTGACGTTGTGCACGTCTGTGTCATCGCCTCTCTGGAAACAGCAGCAGCAGCAGCACCACCATCATCATCATCTTTGGCACCGCTGCTGCGAATTCGACGACAGTCAGTCAAGTCAGGAACAACACAGCAGTACAATCATAGTATTTGTTGTCGTTATTGTTGTAAATATTATTATTACTATACGTCGTTCTATGGCGTCGAACAGAACACCGATGATATTAGCGGCAGTATTTTTACAGTTTCTACAACAGCGGCAAGTACTCAGTGGGCATTGTGGAATGTGATTGTTTCTGGTGATCAGTTGATCTATGGGATAACCTGGAGATAAATGTCTAGTGTGACTAACACGTTGCGGTGGACCGATTCGGAATAAAAAGATGTCTATGAAGGATTCTGTCTAAATTTAAAAATGAGTGATCCCCGGTGATGTCGCTTCATCAGGCAGCATATATGACACGTAGAAAGCCTAAAAGTAATGTTCTGCCTGTAGCTTGTAGCGGAGATTTTACATCTGTTGCATTCTGGGAATGTCTGCCGCACTGCCAGTGAACAAAACTAGTTAAACGTTTAAGAATTGCATTGTGACGTATTAGCAAGAAAAAAAGTTTTTCAACGATAATGGAGTTTTCCGACCTGCAGCGCAGCTGGGCGGATCGTTTTCCTCAGGATAAACTATCGCTCATTTTTGAAGAGGACATGAAGACGTTGCTAACTACGCACAAAGCTCGTGTAGCACAGTTACGTAAGGAACTTGCTCAAGAAGAATTTCTCGTAGAGTACTTTGAACGAGCGTTAAACGATGAGCGCCAGCGGCGTCGAAGCGTAACTTCAGAGGAGCCGGCAAGCCAGTCACCTCTGGTTTTGTCCCGCGAGAACTCGTTTAAAGACGATTCTCAAATAGGACCTGAGATTCCTATAGCTGTTCACAGCTCGAATCCACCAATTAATCCTGTTGACCCTGAAAGCTATGTTACGGTAATCGCTGTTTCGTCACAAGACGAAGGGGAAATTCGGCCTAAAAAGAAACCCCCGGCGCCGCCGCCGAAGCGAGTGGCCAGGTGGCCTCCCGCCTCGACTGTCAACGCCTTAGGAACAACGAGCCCTGTTACGACGCCCGATGAGGCGGAATCCACACTTTTCGCTCAGGTTGCCCAGTCATCCTTATCAACTTTTGGCAAACCCAAGTTTGGATCACAGCTGTCCAATCAATCGACAGCGTCGAGCACATCATCATTCCAGCTGGCACTGAGCAGTTTTCGGCAGGCAACGACTGAACCGTCAACTCCCTCAACGCCGGTTACTCCTACGTCAGCCGACCGGGCAGCGTCTACGACATGTAGTCGCTCATTGGACCATCCCTCTGTGGTTGCGTCTGCCAGCGATCTCAGTTCTTCACAATCTAAATCGAATGATTCGTCTCTTGAACGAAACACCAATACAACAAAAAGCGCAGACTCATCACTCGAGCGTAGTTCGTTGTTTTCCGGTAGCAGTCCGGCAACCAGTGCTCTTCAGGTGGAACGAAGCGCGAGTTGTCGTTTAGAGAGGCATGCCTCGAGCGCATCGTCGCACTCGCAGAGTAGCCGTCTGACTGCTGGAGATGATACAACAGAACAGCGTAGCAATAGCAGCGGCAATAGCAAACGCTCAACACTCCATTTACTCAAGGATACGCTCAAGGATACAACAATGATGAATACTACAACCAGTAATAACAATAGTCATCATCATAACAGCGAGCGTAGTGTTACCACGAGCAACGGCGGATCGCCGGCCGCTGGACTGCTGGACCTCGATTGTAATTATGCTGGTCACCGTAAGCTCGATAAGACTTCGACCCTGAGTTCAAACGACAGTTCGTTCGACGGTCTCGATGACGCACCAATATACGACACTGTGGCGGCGGATGAAACTGATGCCGAAGAATCGACGGATGGCACATACGATAGCGTTCGCTGCGGCAGTCGGCAGGAGGCGCCAGAGCAGGATTACGTTGAGTTCGGTGGGTATGGACGTATCCCAGCTTCACTGGTCACTGACTCAACCGAGGAAGATAGTGATGGAGAGGAACCGTCCGCGCGGTCACGAGAAATTCTACAGCCCATTGCTAAAAGTTGCGAAGATTTGCGGGCACCTGTGGCAAGTCGTTGCGATGGCTCTGAACTGCGTCCAAGCAGAAGGCCACCTCCAGTGCCAGGAAAACCAACTGGAGGCGGTATTGCTCCACCTGTCCCGCAGATTCCCTTACGTAGAGGAAGGTCTGAAGAACGCCTTGATGGAGATTCCGGTGAGTAAAAACCCTGTGTCCTTTAGGCGGAATATTTATATTCATACATTTTAGTTTTTCAGTTTATCCAATGTGAGCCGCCTGGGCAAAATCTCTTCGATCGTCAAATTCCATCGTTGGAACGTTTATAAAAATCCAATCTCCTGTTATTAGGACACTCTACATTGATCATCACATACAATTCGAACCAAACACACTAGCTACAGTATCAAATGCTCTAAACAAAACATTTCTAAATCCTTAATTGGTTTATCGCAAAAAAGAAACTGTGTATTTTTGCTGTAAGTAGCCCCTCTCGTAAGCGTTGTTTATCGGTTATACATTAACAGAAGCTAACTTATGAATTACTCTGTGTGTCTTCTATGCACATTTCACTATGCACATCGTCATGTGTATGACACACATATTTAAACATGTAATATACAGATCATAGAATTGTCTTTCCGTATGGGCTTTGTACTGTACATCTGTGAACAGTGTAATGTTTACTAACATTTCGCAATTTTAAATATTGTTTGATAATATTGTTAAAAGCCACTGCTGTAAGCATCGTTCTTTAATTACTAATATTTTATTATCGGATAGAATAAAAAGGTCTTTAGTTTCTTCTGAGCGGGGTGTATCTACTTGTAAAACCAACAGACTTTAGACATCTTAATCAGTAGATGGCAATGTTTAGCTGGAGATGTTTGATTTCGGTGGGTTAATTGTGTCCAAAATGGCTCGCTTGCATATGAATTCGCACCATCCATTTCTATTTTTGCAATATTGATCTTCCTTGTACTCTGTAATTCTGACAATTAGCCGCGTTTTAGTACAATCGATTTTTCTTCGTTGAACAACTTGTTAAGCTTAATGCTATAAAAGAAAAACAGTAACATTCATGTTAGTTAGCTAAAATACTGAAGTCGATAGAGTTTATACGTTGTTGTGTTCCTCACGCAAGATCTATACAAAAAAAGGGCCTGTTGTTGTTTAAAACAAGTTTACCATTAAACATTATCAGTATCACAAATAGGATTAAACTTAAATGAAAAACGTAGAGGGGAGTGGAATGTGATTGTCCGGTTATTACACATTATTGCAAATTAACTGCCCGCGTCGTCAAGAAAGGCTTATTCAGTGCTGATTCGTTGAGATACGTAGACGCGGGTAAATAAAGCATGTAAGTATATTACACAGCTGTTATTTTTACAAAAATGTTTTGGGAAGCTTCATGGGGATGTAAGGGAAAACCAATAAAATTACCACACCGGTAATAAATACGCTTTTTTTTTGTTAAAGCGACGTCTAGTGTATTATACCAAAGTACTATAAGACAGCTTCTTGATGATGTCTAGCTTATTTAACATACGTCGTCCACCGATCATCAACGTAAGTCGGGTTCCTATGCACATTACATGTGCTAGAATCAGCCCTAGATAGTCAAGGTAAACTTTTAACCATCGGACTGGCAGACCACGCCAGCAGAAGATTGTAAACGTGTAAATCGGTAGACAGTTTTTGTTGACTCATTGTTGTTGCTGTTGTTCTAGCGGTTTCGTTCGTTGTTGCTATTGTTATATAAAGTTGCGCGTTATCTGAAGTGGCGGTCTTCTGACGGTAGTGGTGCCGTTTAGGGATGGAGGGAGGGAAGTCAACGCCGCTGAAATCAGCGGCAGGAGTATTAGAGACGACGGTTTGAGAGAGAATACCTCAATTATAATAATACATGAGCATATACGCGGCGCGAGACAAGCGACTATGTAAAGGCGCAGAAGACCAGCTGTGTGGAGCCATAGACTCGGGCCCCTGTGGCTATGACTATGGTTATGCTGTTTTGCCGTGCAATGCGCATGGGCCTGCTGATCTCATGGCAGTGGTATGACTGTAACTGGCAACTCTCATTATTTGTAACTTTGCTTCTGTTCTCCCACTATTCCAAAATTTCTATTATGGACAGTCTCGAAGAACGACTCTATGCTGCCAATAAAGCATTGAGCGTAAGTTGTCTTTTAGCCATATGACTACCGTCATCCACTTCAAATCTTTTATAGTTTTCATAGCATACTCAATTGAATGTCGCTTGAGGTGTATCTCGGTGATGTGCATATCAAACATATTATTCTTGTTTGTAGAAAAAGCAAATTGTCATTATTTGCTTGTCATAACGACGGTTGATATTCCTACAAAGGTAGCGTAACTTTGCCAAATTCTCACAAGTTTCGTCTGGTCTTGTCAACATCTGAACTGCTGTTATATAGTGACCATTCGGCCCACGCATATAACACGACTAGCCGTAGCGATCGCATCATCATCATCATAGACCCATAGAACCTTTGCCGCCATATGCAGAACAGTAACGGCCAAGTGCCGCTTCGCAGTTAAGCTGTTTGCCACGTAGAAGTCAACAACAGGAATACGAAGACCATCGATAACTACTATGATAATAATATAGCAGTAGCAAACGCCACTGCTGCTGTTGCTTGACCAAAAGAGGGCGGATGGATGGGTGGGCGGGGGGACAGAAGAAGAATGGACACACCAATGTTTTCTACTATCGCCGTCCTAGTTAAAAATCGACGCAGTCCCTCTTATATATATATATATATGTGTACATAATGCTCCTGCGTATATAAGAGTTCGTTGTTGTCATTACTACTAATGCTATACAAGCGACGCCCGCACTTGTGGCGCCATCTGTTGTCATAGTATGCAGGTACTGCGTACGCAGAGTATCTCTTAATGAATAAGGGAACTGTGATAGCGCAACACAGACTCGCATTATAGCAATAAACCAATATAGCAAGGTTTCTTTTACCGAAGAGCTGTAGTAAAAAGCTTATGGTTCACTATTTGAGCAGTTAACGGTTATAGGCGTCTATAGTAGGTCTCTTGAGATGCATTCAAGTACTGGTAGGCAATACAAATGGCTGGCCTTTGAACTGGCGTCAGCTGCTGCCTTGTGTGCTTTCTGTGAGATACAAATCTGGCTTTCAATATAACTAAATTAAATGTTTGCGTATAAAAAATACGTACCAAAATGTGATGCATCCTGTTTCAACAATAATTTAAAATATTTGATCAATTCTATTTATATTTATTGAGTGTACTGAAAACATTAGAAGTTGCAGCTGGCGCTTATTGCGTTCCTTGTGAGTATTAAGGCGTAATAGCTGATTTTACTATCTAAGGTTTTTTAATATCAGGGCACAAGTTATGCTGTTTAACAAAACCCTTCTTTCGATTTAAAGTGGTTTGGTTCATGATTATTACAAATGAATAAAATCTATTTAATTCGCAGGCAAGTATAACCTTACATGTTGTAAGTTAAATAAGATAATTATTTCACTATGATCAACCCATAGTTAAGTATTTTAATCTATAAATACAAATAATACTCGTAAGATTTCTAGAATCTTACAGAATCTTAGAATCTTAGTTACAGGCCGTTGAAACTCGAATGAAGCCACTTCCTTTTAATGATTAACTGGCTATGGGACTTACGTTGAAGTCGACAATATACAGGATGTGGCACGCGTATATGTATATATATATATATACATAAGTCGGTGGAAAAATTAGCGAAGGTTTTTTAGCTAAAGTAAATATTGTTTATATTTTTAAATTAAAAATGTTTATATTTAAAAAAATATGTTATATTTTTTGAACAATATTCCTGAATCAAGTACGAGTCATTTGGACTAACGATCTTCTGCCTTTTTTTGGTAGCATCACAATCTCATCACTGTAGAACTGTGGCTTCCGGGCGAACAATTTTGACAAATGATATTTGCATCTGTCCATTGAAACTACATTAACCCCATTAAAAGCTCTGCAGAACCCAAACAGATTATAATTTGAATGGCGCCGGATTTGGGCTACACAGTAAATGCGTTAAAGTTTGTCATCCGAATTCTTTCAATTTTCGCCGAGTATCTGAATATATGTACAGCCTAGCATTGTCATGGTAGAAGACAAGGCTTTTTCGTTTCGGTTTTTGTTCCAATCTATTTTTCTCAGTGCGTTTTTGCAATTTTGTTAATTGTTGGCAGCAGAGGTCCGAATCAGTCGTTTTTTCGGATAACAGGAGCTCAAAATGTATAATTGATTTTCAATCCTACCAAACACGCAGCACCACCTATTTTGGCATCAGTCCAGGTTATGCGCGTTACTGAGTTATTTTCTGTAGAACTTTTCTTTATGCCTAAGGTATTTTATTTTGAGTCTCAATAAAAACATTAAACCAATTTTAGCACATTCACAACTGTGAAACCTCAGCTTTCAAACAGTTCGAATGGTTTGTACTGAGATGTGCAACTTTAGGTATGCCTGAATCATGTAAAACCGTAAATCGTTTTTCGACGATCTAATATATAAATATATATACAGAACGGTACGACTAGATTTAAAATCCTTATTATGCCTTGCTTTTAAAACTGTAACTGTACAAAAGTAAATGTTTCAATGACCTTTACGTCATTGCTGATAGCCATGGCCACAGTTTCAATTCGGGTAGGTGTTAACACGTTAAAGTGTGACACAAATATGTTGCTTATAAAAGATTCCAACGTATATAAGTTTCAGTCTAGACGCAGATAAAAAGTTCCGAAAAGATCGAAAGTGGAAAAAGGCGCAAAGATTATCAAAAAAACGTATCATTAGTGTTTATCGAGACGACCCCATTACCAGTCGATATTATTTTCTTTAAAATGGCAGTTAACCTTTTTTTAAAAAGACTATATGAATCAAAAATAGCTTTTTGAAACATCTGGTGATTTTTCGAGCCCGTTAAATCTAATGTCTACATAAAATCGCTCGGTCTGCCTTGGGGAAACCTCGTTCTGATTTTTCAGAAGATCATTGAAAACTGCCAATAGACCGTCGACTTCGGGCAAAAAAATTAGGTTTTTAATTGTGGTGAGAGTTCGTCCAGCTCGGAAAGATCGCGTGTTCATTGATCGCTCAAATCTTTTTGATTTGTCTTAAAAAAGGTTTTTATCTGGTACCAGGAGTAGTGA